ATAAGGTGTACTGCTAAAAAAAACTGTTCACTATTTTCGAGGACAATAATACGACATGTTTAATCTGTTTTTCAAGGACAGAATCTAGAAATAATTGAGCAACCAATTAACTAGATTATTACAAAAATGTATGGTACATTAAGTCTAATCAGACTGATTATATAAAATAATCAACTTTGTTAATTTCTCCTTATTTTAAAAGATACAAAAACGTGGACAAAGAATATTCTTTTCTAGTAAATACTTACCAAGTTATACAGGTTGAAGTTCAAATGATTGACGTGAAAGAATAACAAGATTAATGACAAAGGTATTATTAAGTAAAAAATAGCAATATGTAAATCAAGGATAAGAAACTAAATCAGTTTGTTAGTCAGTCAGTCAGTCGCACGTACGTACATCAGTTCTAGTTGCCATACCACATAAGCACTGAAATGCAGTTGTCGATTCAAATCCCGTAGTGGTAGAGGTAGTAAGAGTATAAGCAGTAATCCGATAGATTAGGATTTGAAGATGTTATTCAAGGAGTATGATCCAGTGAAATAAGTTTGGAAAGAAAAGAAAGAAAGGGACATGAATAATTCAGAAGATTAGAATTTGGGAGAACACAAAGAGTGAATGCACCTGCGCCATTGCAATCGATTTTGAGCCACGTCATTCAGTATCTCTAACCATGAGTTGCTATCATCTCGCGGACCCCAACCAGGTAGTCTACACCTATCAACATGGCTCAGTCCACTTGTCAGTGACTTCATGGACTTGTGCCATGTTTTGGTCTGGGCGCCCCTGGCTTTCTTCCAATCTACTCCTATACCATAAAACATCGCACGTCAGGACAGTCAGTGGTTTGTAAGTGTTAAATGACTAATGTGTAATCCATACACCTGAGTCAGGTTCCAGGTCAATTAATAATAAGTACAAGCATTGTAGTTTGAGAAATACAATGATCATATCAAATATTTAACTAGCGATTGTGTAACGCATCAAATGATTTGACCAAGAGGTGACAGTGGTAGTAATTATTCAGTAAATTAAAATTAATAAAATGTAAATAGGAAAGTGTATTGGATCATATAATTAGGATGATCGTTGACTTATTGAACTCAAGTTAAAACGAAGTATGAAAAAAAATGGAATCTCCATCTTCTGGATATAGATGCTTGATAGTTTTTTTTTAGTTAGATGAACTACTGTTTCAACAACAGTATACTACAAACCACCAATTATAATACAAACGTCATACGGCTACATTAATTAGTGACTATATGAACTCAGTGAATAAAACACTGGACTTTGAAACAATAAGTACTGAGTTTAAATCTAAATGTGAGCATCAACACTGCGATGGTGGGACATGCAACTAGCGAATAACAGATAAGACGAAACACAAGTTCTGGATTCTACTGTTAGTCACAGTACATACGTTCTATTGCTCCAACCATTTAAAATCCTCAGATATTGACTGATTTCGGCGTGTTATTCCTAGAGAAAAATGTTGAAAATAGCTGGAATATGTTTGCTTTATGGGCTAATCATACTAAAATGATGGGATGATCAAGAATTATGGATGATATTCACAGGGTAAATCAATCGCTTACCAGCTTGTTTATTTTAACACTCACTACATTTCACTTACACTACAGTCACATTAATTAAATTTAATTCTACTCATTGATTGTTTGGTTTTCTGATAACCATAGTTGTAACTAAATTTTTTGTAAGCAGTCATCCTTTAGCCATCAATGCAACAATACATGTATTGATCGATTCGCTAAATTTCTCACTAAATCATTAGCGATCAAATATTTTGTTGACAATTACCAAAACTTGGAGTCATTTATGCGTTTAGAAATAAATAAAAAACATGCAATTGTTTTCAACTGAATAGAAGAGACTTTTGAACAAAAAGTAAGATAAATTTTAACACAGAGCATTTCTTTATATATAAATAATACTGACTTTTCAGTGATTTAGTTCGAAACATTTTCCCTTAGGTTCACGTCACTTCAAACTTAAGTAATTCATCTCATGTGCTGCGTGAATCTACAATTAATTTAATACATAAAGTCTATTGTTATGTGTTGAATAACTGATTTCTACCAGCAATAATCAGTAATAAAAGTTAATATTACTTTTTAACTACTAAATAGATTTATAAAATAAAGACTATTGTATTCTTACTCAGTAACTGCCTTGTAATCGTACCGGCTAACCGCAAGATAAAAATATAACACGTTTCCTCCACGTATATACAGTCAGATATATAATAATGAAAAATATCGTTCTAGTACAAAACTGTTGTCAAATTCTTTCTTCGGCTTAAAACAAACTAGAAAACGATTCAACATGTATTGTGAAAGTGAGATTTTGATATGAACACGAGGAAATATGTTATTTTTGCGAATCATTTAGGTTGCGAAGTTTAAAGTAGAATAATGGATATTGAAAAATCAAAATCTTTTATAATAGATCAAATGCTCCATCTGAGTGACAATGATATGTCGGCTATTACATTTGCTTATTCTGGCTGTGTTCTGTATAACTGAATTATGCGACATTGATATCAAGCTTCCAATACCGGGTTCTTTGACATGTTATGTACACTAAATGAATCGCTAATAAATACAACACTATTTTGGTGGATATAATAGACTTATTAAAGTACAGAAGTTGGTAAGAGCGAGACAGATGAGTTGGTCTGAGCCAAACTTGATGAGCAGTAAATATACATGATGGGCTATTGAAATGACGTTAATAGTTGGCAGTTTGCATTCGGCCAGTTTAGATCGTTTAAGTTAACGAGATCAGCAAGAGATATTGAATACATTATGAAGTTTATTTTGAACAATAATTACTCATACAAGCTTAATATTGTTGAACTAAAACCCAATAAATTTCTAAAAACAAATAGTTGCAGTCTATAATCAAGTGTTTATATATTCATAAAGTTTATTAAGTCCGTAATTTTATGTAAATCTGTTATCTTTATTCCCCTTGTTATAAGCTTTATTTTGACCTATATATTATTATTGTACGATTGACGGTTCTTAAGCTCTGTTCAGTTTATTGACTACTGCCTCCCACGTTCACAGCGGCATCATTACGTTATATATTAATAAGGCACAACACCACAAATCATTAACAAAATCAATCAAAAACCTATGAAAAAGCTCAAAAAAGAACCGTATCAATTACCGAAAAATATTTCAAATTGTTTATACCACTATTAGATAAAACAGAAACTTTACAAAATGTGCTTTTTTATTACATTATCATACGTGTTCTATTTACTGGGAAGTGTACTGACTCATAACTAAATGATCAATTTACATGGGTTGGTTTAAGTAAATATGAAAAGGATAAAGGGCCATGATACCTAGTAAATTTGTGTTTTAGTTAAGTAAATATTTTAACACTCAACATGATCACAAATAGGAAGTAAATAAACAAATAGAAATGTAACAGAATGGGTTTTGTGGAGGATGTAGTAATTTCAATAGTTGAGATCATGAGTTAATTGAAGCTTCCAGGTTTTCCATGATGGTCTAGCTTCAATTTACTCATGATCTCAACTATTGAAATAGAAATGTGTCGAAGTGAAATTTTAATGTATGATTTAAAACTTCAGTTAGGTGACCGGTAATTGGTAATCATAAATTGACTGAGTGGTTGGAAAAATAGAATGTGACAGAATTGGGTACAGTTATTTTTATTAGTAAAATCTAGAAAAATCGATGTTATCCACTGAGAGAGATTAATAATAATTAACTGTTGTGTCTTTAAGTCCGGCTAATTATCTCGTGACTTATCCACCACTCGGTATACGACTTGAACTATCTTAGCACTGTACCAACCAATGACGTTAAACCGGTATGAGCGGCCTAGCGTCCTTATTGATCCTTTGTCTTTCTAGCCCTTCCAGTTGAGTGCAGAACACTAACACCAGTTTCCACTATGCGAGTTATTTATTTAAAACATACTTGGTTTATATAATAGCCAAACAGACCACATCACACCATAAAATAGGAAATAACACTTGCACAGGATCAAACCAAAAAGTGGCTGTGAACGTGGGAGACTGTAAATAATAAACTGAGTATAATTTAAAAGTAGTAAACCGTAACATAATAGTCTATTGGTCAAAATAAAGCTTATAATAAAAGGAATATAGATGTATATAACCTAGTTACTGAAATTTACACAATAATATATATAATATTAGTCCATTGATAATTCTTACTGGGGTATAACATTAGCCAATTAACCGACCAATAGAACAAGCCCCAAAGTTTTGATGTTAATTGATTGAAAGTAACAAGCAGAAAACATTGAATCTATTTTCCTATCACTTATCACTTGTCATTAACAGCAAAACTACAATTTTTGAAGAGCCGATTATTCCTGTGGAATCCAAACCCCAATTAATTAATGTCACAGACTACGAAGTTACCACTGAGCTATTCACGTTGTGAATAGCATCCTTCAGGATTAATCGATCAATAATTAATCAACATTGATATGTTCGTTTAGTTACTTTAGTTCAAATCAAATACTATCAATCTAGTTTCATTATTTTCAATAAAGGGATTGAGCTGTGGTGAACGAGAACACAAGTGGAGACAACCAAAAATATCTCATTGCCCAAATTACATAATCTCTTGGCGAAATATGAGAACTGTACATTGAATACTTAATTTGCGAATCTCCATCATGTCTCTCGCATTCTGTATGATTTTTTTCAATTCATAATTATTTTTTAATCACGTTTCTTTTTTCTTCAAGTTGACCCTCATAGGCTTCTGCTATCAGGTTTTTCACTTCCAATTGGTGTTACATACTACTTATGTCGACATATATAAGTAGCATACACCACAAAGCGACCTCAATAATCTCATTTTAACTATGTACTACAACTTAATTCGTCGTCATTTTTAATGATTATTATTTATCTATTTGCATCCATAAGGAATTATTATTTATCAGGACTATAAATTCCAACTATGTTAACTCATAAAACATTGTTTTATTGATTAAATTAAACTGGATAAAGTATCAAGATAGAACAAATGATTGATGAACTGAAGTTGTACAAAAATCCAACACTACATACACACAAACCAAGTACATTATGGAAGACGTTAATGTGATATTAAAAAAAAGCAAAAATACCACGTAAAAATATAGTACATTAAAACAAAATGCAACAGGCTGATAAACTTTCAAAAAAAAGATACACCAAGCAAAACCTTAAAAATAAAGGAATACATGTATTTGTCTAAAGAAAACAGCGTTCAAATATAATCCTTTGAAGGTATTTATGAGAATGCAATCACCGAAAACAACAACAGTAGTAGTGATACAAACTGATGGTCTCTATTGTTTACTTATTGATACGCAGTTTATTCTATATATAGGAGAAAGAGGTGGAGAATAGCAAACTACCAAAGTAGAGTGTCATAATATTTAAAAGCAAATCAGAATAGACAAAAAAAACTGTAAGAAATAAGAATAGAATGATAAAAATAATTAATAAGCAATGGAAAAAAATAATTGTTCATCAAAGTCAGTTTGATGTCTATAAAAGAGCAAATTATTTGAAAGGAGAAAGTAGTAAAAATTACTTTGAAAAACAGTTGGATCAAAGTTTTTATTTATTAATTATTCACAGAAAATAAATCTTCAAGAATTACCATTGTTAATTTTTTCGTTTGGTAGTATAAATTAAACTTAGACTGACTGTCCACCTGTATACTGTCCTCGTCTTCGACGGAACAATCTACGGCGACGACATAGGAAACGTAAACCAGCAAGTAAAATGACAGCTGCTAATATTGTAAGTACAACAGAAATAATGGATATTATTAACAGATCGGGAACTGGTTGTTCAGTTTTCAACTCCCTGTAATTAGGAAAAAACATAAAAGAAAATTAACAATTGAATTAGCCTCAGCTAACAATCAGTAAACATAAAGATAATGTATTTAAGTAGTTGAAAAGATGGTGAACTGTAAAAATACATTATCTATTTTGCTGTCCACAGTCTTAACATAAGTCAGTCTCAGTAAACCGTTTACTTACTGGAAAATGTTGCAAAAGAACTAATCAAATAACCAAGAAATGTAAATAGCTATTTACACCTCAGAACTATCGTCATTTATTACATCAGTCAAGTCGTTCATATACAGTTAGTTTGGTGTTGTAGTAACTAGACATGGTGACCTAATATAATATTTAATAATAATGAATTTCAAACTAGAACTAAAACGTATTCAACTGCTTGTTTATTTTTAGTAGTCAACCAACCAGAATCAAATAAAAAAAACAATCTACAAAGTTTATAAGCAAGGATGGATGGTGGTTAGCAGTGGAATCCAGTAAGCGCGTTTTGTCCTATTCGGAAATCGTCAGCTGGATGTACCCACATACCAGATTTCATGCACACTCCGAGACTAAAACTCAATACCGTTCGCTCCAAACGCCATCACATTATCGACTTAACTACTGAGTCCTAATAGCCACTAGCTTGTGTAATGGAGTGAAGTTTTAATCCATTCAAACAACAAACACAAAAGTGAATTAAATCTACAAACTGATCAACACTTTAAACATTTGATTAGAAAAACAAACTTTAAGGAATCAACGAAAATGAAATCGAACAATAAATAATGACTTCACTTATATGTTATTTCTGATAACATTGTATTTACTTGTAAAGATATGTACTATCCACTTGTTGACATTCAGGACTATAATTGATCAATCTCTGTTGACACTCTGAGCGTATGATACGATATTACAATCAAGTAACAAGTCTAGAATACTTGGATCTAACTGCCAGCAACGATCTAAATATGTTACAGACTGACTGTATTCGTTGGTCTATAACTAAAAGATTTTGAAATAGATGTTATCGAGAGCTTGACTCACTTGAGGAATCAGCAACTCATTATCTCGCATTAGTTTTAAAAAGTACATAGATTAAGAAAATAACGCACACCGAACTTCAAACTGTTTGTTAGTTGTAAGGTACTTTCTTATGAGTCAGTGAAATGTTTACGTTGAATGTACAAAAAAAAGAATATACCGCTAAGAAACTTTGAATTGAAGTGAATTTTTTCTTGTGCTGCCCAGTTCTCATTTTTCATACAGACGGTTTTAGTGCAACCAACCCGAATTAAACAATCGATGTACTTATAATAATGGTTTGTCACGGTAAAGGCATCAAAAAAACGTACTTGTACACACAGTTCAGGCTTCGTTTCATGAATGACAAGAGTTCTTTCTATTCGAATAAGTTGAATTTGAGGAAATTTTGATAGATTTGGACGAATCGTGTTGATAATCTAGAAATCAATACGTGGATCAATGGAGTGATTATAATGGATTGAATGCTCAAGTACAGAACTCCAAACCTGTTTCTTCTTACTTTTGTAGAATCGAAATGAAATATTTTCTCGTATCGGAATTGAAAACAAACGTCGACTACAGCCTACATGTCTTGCTCCACAAGAGCAGGGGTTGTTTACAACTCGGTTACGAGATCATACTTCATTTTGATTCTACAAAGAACAGAGGAAATTGGTTTGGAGTTATATACTTGAACATTCAATCCATTATAATCACTTTACAGATGCACATATTGGTTGCAAGATTATTTATACAATTCCTCCGAACCTATCAAGATTTCTTAGAAGTCTAAACTTACAAACCTATGTAACTAAACACTCTGTCCAGTAATATTTTATTAACTTCTTACTAAGTAGTATTTATATAAAAATTAACATTAGATGTAAAAATAAATAACGACGATTAGTCCAATTACAGATATTAACAACATCAAGAGACCAAACATCAACCTATATCAAATACATACATACATGTAATAACAATTACTACAAACCACACAGCACTTTACGCATAGTCGGTATTTATAAACACAATCAGTAGCCCCTCTGAAAGCAATTGATTCATTTTATTTTGAAATAAGTTATTGAAATTCTTTCTTTTTGTCAAGAACTGATAAGTTCATCTACTGAAACGTTTTATACTTGTTTCAATGGTAGAGTTACGTACTAAAATATAGTTCTCTTACAACAACGAAACAATTCATTAACATATTTCTAAACCATAAAATGTGAAAAGTTAAAGCTAGAGGGTATAAGTTTTGCAATCATGGAAATATGTTATTCAATGATTCGTAAGAAAAATTCGGTATTTATTTTAAGGCTTCATAGTATACAGAGGATTCAGTGTATTGTGAAACATTTTACACTAGTTGATAAAATAAGATGATTGTGTCTGAATTAGAAACGAGACGTGTGGGTAATTGGGTGAGGGAAATGAGACCTAATTAGTTCGGTTTATAAAGTACAGTTACTCTTTAAATATTTTTGAATACCAAGATAGGTAAGAGATATTTTACAACCAAATCTCTCCCTAATCCTTAGGTTTGAATACTATTTAAACTAAAAGCTGAAATATATGAGTTTCTGTCCATAAAATAACATCGGTGCTAAGATAACAAAACTAAAAGTTATGAAAACAACAAAGTTTTTCATATCACGACGTTTCCATTTCCTGTGTCAGTCCAACAGTGGAGAACGTAGCGGAAATATAAATCAACCCAATATGTCTTATAACATCATCAACAGCACGCACCGTAAAAAAGCATAGCTGATAATAGTTTATATAATGGTACTAAACCAAAGAAAATGGATAATATTGACAGGATATAAATATTGTTACAACTCAAAGATCAGGAAACAATGTTCCAAATACAAAGAATATAACAACAGCCAGAGGTCGGCTTGGATAAATGTGTTCTAAATCTTATCAGGAGAAAGAATACAAACTTCTTCAATCCATAAACACCTACGTCTGAATAAAACTTGATTTCCACGAAATTTTATTCACAAGCTCTCCATAGAAGTTGGATGGTTGTTGAAACTGAAGTTTTGGACACTCCATCGTTTAACATGATTGCACAGTACTTATTATCATAGGATTTATGTTCTTCCTCATAAACTGATATAATTAGCGATCGATGACCGTCAGATTAGAATACCTTCGCCTCTGAGGCTTTACTAGATATTTTTTATTTACTATTTATTTAAACACATAAATACTGGTACAAGGGGGCACCAAATACATATGCGCCACACAAATCTCACTTGCTTTTTGTGTGGGCTGTAATACTGCCTGGGTGCCCAAACCGAAGCAGGTGATTTTCTTAGGGGGCCACACCCGGAGCCTCCGACCTAAAGGTCTGATCCACAAGGCAGTGAAACATCGTAAGGAGATGCAGTCCCATGGTAGCCAGTGACCAACAATTGGTTCATACTCCATTTATTCTCTCAGGGTACTGGAGCATATGCGCATCATAGGTTTGGAATCAGGGTTTTCCGACTCCTCTAAATGAACTCTCCATGTCCACCAACCCGGTTAAAGTGCCGGATATTCGCTTTTCGTCCTGTCAATTTCGTAAACAATACCCTCGCCACGAGGAGGCAGTGAGTAGGACTTCCCTAGCAGAGGCTATATACGCGTGGCCATGTGAGAGCATTTTGAGAGGGAGAGCGAACTCTCCTTACTCTCGGCCGTACCATAGCATTTGGGGGCACTAGATATTTTAGCTACCATTAATGGTATTTATAGACTAACAAAGACCTCTGAAACAGACCTGTCAGATTTTAAAGCTCCTTGTTGTTTTAAGTTATTCTGCTAGATTGTAGTATCACCAACAAACCGAAATAGATCAAACTCTAAAAATAAGTATATTGATCTATGTAATTAACTATTTTACTCACTACAATTAAACTACGGATCCGTGAATTCATTTTACGCTGTTTCTGCCAGTATGGAACATCACACCTTTTTAATGATCCAGTTAAATGCAAATATTATTTCAAAAACACACAGTATCTAATCATAATATTATATTGATGTCTTCTTTTAATAAATTTATTATTATTTTCACACTCTCAAATACATATGGGCAATAATTATGAGGAACTACTGTACAGAACATAAAGAATACGGAATTTTAGTCAGTCATATGTGACGTGGAACTTGGGACAAATGTACGTCGACTCAAGTTATCACATAAAACTAGAACAGTGATGAGATGAAATTATCATACTAAATTTGACAGCAATAAAAGTAGTAACCGAATTACTGGTAGAAGAAAAGTTTAGGTTTAGAAAAAAAAAGTATAAGAAAACTTGGGAACTCATGACAAAATTTTAAAAATGCTCAAAATATCCCGATAACTTCTCTACATTAAAGTTATTATTATATTTAATTCACAAGATCAGTATTTTCAAGTAACTAATGTATACTATTAAAATAGATTTTCTTCCAGTTGATATTAAGAAAGGAATAATGACAGTATAACAAGAAAAAGAGTAATGAACAGTTAGACATCGAAAACTGGGACGATCATTCAACTGTCATTATCATCCTGCTTCATTAAATGAACAAATCATCAAGAAATTGTTAATTTAAATAAAACCACACTTCCCTTACACATTTACGAAAACAAAAATTTAAATTCTTATAAAATGAAATAGAAGTATATAAACCATATCACACTACATAAGATCTAATCTATGCATTTATTTACAAATCAAATAATTTATCAAGAAAATGTCATTAATTTTCTCTTACTTACGTTTACCAAACGATGAAGGTAAACAGAATAATCAGTCTTAATTGATTTTTACAGCACTGTGCGTGACTATCAGGTGTGTACTTTTGAATGCTACAAGTCATATGTCAGTTTGCTAAACTTTACAAATTATGTTTACATTTAACCTTAATAGGTATTCTTATTTATGGAAAAAGGTATATATTCAGTAAACAGAGTAAGGATACAACGAAAACTACATGTCACTTAATGAATATCATGACATAAAGAATGACCATTTTAGTTAATGAATTTCAACATTTCAGTTTTATGGTGGTAAAGAGAAAACTCTGCTGAACTTCCGCATATACATCGTATAAATTTGGTTAGATGTATTAGGAAAATGAAACCACATCAATAAAAGACGAAACGTTAGTCTAGATTGCAACATAAAACTCAATCTAAATTTTACTTACAGATAAAAAGAAAAAAATTAGTCAGCCATAGCAGGCTACTTATGTTGACAAATATGAGTGGTTTCCGCTCCCAGCTGAGATCTTGTTTACTATAATAGAACAAAAGTATTACCAAATTAGCTTACTAATATTCTCATCCACTACTATCAATGAGTTGTTCTCGAAACCCTCATCTTGAGTTGATCATTCCACAAGTTAGGGTATTTTACAAGAACTTCATAAATTAATATTCTATTCTATTGCACGCAAGGTGATGAGATCATATGTGACATGGAAAGTAGACTCAAAGATGAAGTTACATTTTGTGAAAAAAACAAAGGTATTGGGGATATCCAATGTATTCCTCGAAAAATGGACGCTGAAAACGTTGGGAAACATTTTATCCAATCAGCGTTGAATAGGAAGATTTCAGTAACGTCTAGAAAGTGAGGAAACACGTGACAAATTTCTCACTGGATGATTACCTATCCTGCTACTATGTTCAGTATGGTTCCAAAAACTTCCAAAACACTAAGTCCATTAAAATACTGTAAGTACCCCCGATTTTCTGTACATAAACTAACCCTCGAGTAAAGCAATCTTTTCACAATTTGCGCATTTTCTCTCGCATTCAAGTTGTCTTGTAGATTAAGATGTGATTATTAGAAGAGCTTAGGAAACCGATTCAAATGTTCAGTTAGAAGACTTTTCGATATCATGAACCAATATGCGTAACAATAATCGACTCAAAATATCAACAAACCCTGATATTATTACCATTACTATTATAGATTATTTGTTGTAAGCACAAAATGGCACATTGATTATTCATGTATTAAGGCAAACTTTATGTACTACATTATCAAAACTGTCACTTTTGATAAGAAGAGTGAAATGTCACACTTTTCCTAAATGAACAGAAACCTGTCACTTTATATACGATTTTGTAAAGTTAAATATGTGGAAAACTCGTCAAAAAATTTTCAAGCTTACTGATGTGATAAGACACACTACAAATGCATACGTTTATCATAAAAATATTGATTATACTAACGTGAATAATTTGATGCTGAAAGCGGACACCCATCATGTGCCAATAATATAAATATCAGTAGTCTTAAACCAAAGCAGGACTTTGCACATATGTAGATATGTACAATGTCCTCAAACCACATTAGCATAGGGACAAGATTCAGTTATTCGGATAAATGCCATAATTCTCAAAACAACTATAATATTAACAATTGTAGAAAAGATTCTACATAGAGAAAATGATTCGAGAAGAAAAAAACGAATTTGTAGGATCAAAAGTATTAGTATTTTAAGTCCCACAATAGGACGAAACGGCCGTCCAATGCTTCCAGGTTTTCCATGGTGGTCTAGTTTCAATTGACTCATGATCTCAGCTATAGAAAAATGTATCCCTAGATATTCTTCTTGTAACCACCCATTTATAAAATCTATCCTCAATCTTAAAATATTAGCCACACTGTAGAGTTCATGAGTGAAATTTCATCATTAATTAATATAAAAAATGATGTTAACCAGTATTGATCAGGCTACAAACATGAATATAATTATTGGAAATAGTCAGATGACTTTCAATGTTTATCAAATCTGAGATGAATGTGAACAAACAAGTGTCATTTTGGAAAATCATAAAAACAAATATATTAATGTAAGCCTTCTTTTTTAAACAAATATGATATTTTAAATAGAATTAATATATAGCTTGAATAACATTTAATAGTACCCTATAAATATGGTTGTCAAAATATAATATGATTATTTAACTAGAAACTGGTAAATTAACTATAAAAAACCATTAATATCCAAAGTTAGAGAATATTAAGTTGATAAACAACTAAGTGATGCATTACAAGTATACTGTTTGAACAATATAATCTTTGACATTGGATAAACTAATGATTATGGGATATTTCTAGTATTAAAGAGATCACTATGTTGCATATTGCCTTTAAATAATTTAAATTAGTGTATTTAAGTACGTTTGCGTTCATGTCATAAAACGTGACTAGATGCTGATAAATTCTTCTCGGGTAAAACGAAGTAGTCACTAATATTCCAAACTTCCAAGCAGTAAGTGAATTTGAAAATCAACTCATAATAATCTAGTATCTATGGAATCATAACAGAAAAGATCAGAGCATAAACTTAATAAATCATAATTATATAGTTGAAATCATGAGTCAATTAAAGCTAGACCACCATGGAAAACCTGGAAGCACTAGATGGCTGTTTCATCCTGTTGTGACGATCCTCAGCGGTGCGCATCCACGATCACGCCTCGCGAGATTCGAACCCGGGACCTATCAGTCTCGCCCGCGAGCGCTTAACCTCTAGACCATAATTACTCATCTTCATGACAAAAACTTCAAAGTAATCAGATTCACATATCTAATAACTTAACCTAAGAACATTTTGTTTACCAATAACTATGGAGGAATAATTCCTTTTAATGGTCCGTAAAATGAACTTCTTAACAAACAATTACAAACTAAAGTTACTAACATCTAAATTAGAAAAAAATAATTGAAAATATTCTATGAAATAATGTGCAAAAATAAATGAACAAACGTGTTCATCGTGCTCTAAAGGACAATGAAGACGTGGAAACACAACATAACAGAAATAATTAAAGACTTTCTCTGCATTAAACAGTTAGTAAAAACTAAAGGTAAACAGACTGATAACACAAACTGCTGAAATAAACCGTAATTATAAACTGAAAATAAAATTTGTTATAAAGTGCTATCACAAAACCATGAAAAATAAAATAACTACAAATGTGATTTCATGTACTATCTTATCAAAAAAAGATTACAAATGTTCATCACATGCCAAGCAAATAAACTGTGCAAGTGAAATAAATAAGTGCTGCTTTAACACAATAATCTGTATTGGTTGATGATTATTTTATCCCAACAGAACGTGCAATACTGAAATAAGATAGAGGAGAGAATTATCTAAACTGAAATAGATTACTACTGAAATGATTTACGAATATCAGAAAACTTGAGTAATAAATACTTCATCAATGTAGTCAACTAGACATGTATCCGAAAGTTCATCCTTTTTAACAAATGTACTTGGAGTAAAAAAACCACTAACAGAATTGTGCCTAAATATTCTCTATGCTTAACTTTGTCTAAAACTAGTTTAAAATTTAATAAAGTATATTATTTGTTCGAAACAAGTGTTATTTCAGCGTTGCTCATCATATCACGAGGGCCGATTTTATCTTAAAGTATCTTGATAAGAAATAACTACATAAACAATACATTAATTCACGTCTATGACAGACAACTTGAGCATTAATTTGCATATCCGACTGCATAATCGACTTTTTAGGGTTTTATTTATCAAACACACACTGGCTAATATAAATCAACTACTTGAGTCTAGACTAGACTGATTGATAATTCAAAATTTTCACTAAAAAAGATCACAGTGCATAGCTTAGTATAAACATTGGAACAAAATGTAGATTAATTATTGAGATATTTATATCATCTGAACAAGTAAAGTGAGATATATTATTATTATTAACTAACAAGAATAACACTGTTTAATTCCCTACAGTATAGACACAAAGTTGACCTCAGATACGATTGATTTGACATATATAGTAGTATTCAATGACAATTAAAAAGTGAACCGAAAAATATTTTGTATTAATACCATGTTTGTTTAGCTAATTATCAGGAAAAATGTGACTTTAAACCAACGGAATTGGATAAAAACTGGTGAGAGATTAAACGAGTCATAAGTGAATTATCTAAAGTGTTGAAATCGTATCTAATACTAAACTGTATTCAAAGATTTTAGAACACTGTCTTAGTATCTCGTCTGATTTGTTGATTTATGGCTTAACTTTCAAGTTTAACGAGAAAATATGAAAATCGCATATATCATGTGACTACACATTTCAATGTTAGAATAAAGCTTGATTATTTTTATATATACCGCATAACGAATAATAACAAACGAAGTAGATGGGTCTGGATAGAAGTGGCCGATACTAAAAAGCTAACATTTTAATGTGTAATGATAAATAGCTTGAGTAATCTTGATAAAACAGTTTAATGACTGTATAAATAAGAAAAATATCATACGTTTGAAATAAAACGCTACTCTTTGAATGAAAATAAATTATTAGTCTAGACATTTTACACACTCAATTTAAAGTAAAATAGGATAGTGATTACCGAAATACTATCGTCATTATGTTACATTTCAGAAAAACAAGACTGACCAATCATCATATTAAAGTTTACCAGTTATGTAAATAATAGAAACGTCATGATCCATCTTGACAATTACGAATATGAGCGCTAAACCAAATACTTCCAACAGTTAATAATATTGTATTAAATATCATAAGATGTTATTTTAAATTCAACTCTTAATTAACACGGTAAGACTTAATTTGAAGTTCAAATTAATCTTAAGGAACAATCTGTGGTCAATCATTGAATAAGTAGCGTTACAAGATGTACACAATATTAGAAAATGGCATTAAAAGTTAAGTCAAACAATAATAATCATCATCATTGAACAGTCCATTTATGTGTATAAGTCCGATAATCTTGCATTATGATGAAAGTAGTTGAAATATCATAATAAGTAAAATAACAAGGAGACTTACACAGCATTAGTTATGAATACTGTAGGTAAATCCACATACTTCCAAGATGATGCACGATATCGCTCAACAAGAAATTGAAACAATGATTCCTCGGTCTCTGGAGTTTTACCTAATTCCAATTCACCTGTTGAACTCTGTGACCAACAGGCAGGACATAAATAAGACGGTGGGAATTGAATTTTAGGTGCAGTTGGATCTTCTGATGGTTGACCAGCTAAATGTTTATTTACACGATTATGTAATATATTCAACCATAATACAGTATCTCTAGGAGTCTCTGGAGCTTTAGGTAAAGTAGGAATAACTGATTCATTAAGCACTAATTCGTGTGGATTAGGAGTGACACGATTTTCCGGTAAGAGAGATTCCCCTGGTCTTACTACGTTTGCTGTATTCAATGCAAAATGAAATGCACAGTATGAGCATGAAAAGAACTGAGGGACGAAACGATTTAAAGCATGAGCGACTGAATCTACTTGATGGTCTAAAACAGAAAAATAAAGGACATTTCAACATTTTCATTTTGATGAGAATGAATTATTCAGACGTGAATAGTATACTTCATAATAAATATCTATATTTTGTCAGACCTATCAAAAACACTTATTTTATCCAAATTTGTAGAAAATTTCTGATGGTTTACTGTAGAATATTATTACTCTCTTAAATACCGGAATACAATACTTTTAATACTAGTTTCATTCGGCTAAAAATAATTTGGAATTAGTTAGAAACAATATGGAAGATACTATTAGTTAACTTTCACTGCTTCTACCTTAAGAGTATACTAGGTGAACAGAAAAAATTCAAATTAACAAAATTTATTAATAATTTACAAGTTTCGTCGTTAAGTTTAAAGTCATGTCTTTTATGTGAGAACTAATAATCATACACTGCACTTTAATGTAGTGAACTTCAAAACCAAAGACTAATTTATATACTAAAGAAAATAACCTAATTTAGAGGGAAATAACTTTGAAATACATTTTATCTACCTTAACTTGGACAGTTCATAGATTGTACAACCAGTTCTCATACTGAATGTTTGACTTCCAGTTGAATCTACTAAGTGAGTTGCATTAGCATAGTTTTTCAAAAGTTAAAGGACTTACCAGAATAGTACAGGTACGAATTATTATCAGCTTACCATCTGGTTGGGTAAACTTAACATGTACCGGAATACAATACTTTTAATACTAGTTTCATTCGGCTAAAAATAATTTGGAATTAGTTAGAAACAATATGGAAGATACTATTAGTTAACTTTCACTGCTTCTACCTTAAGAGTATACTAGGTGAACAGAAAAAATTCAAATTAACAAAACTTATTAATAATTTATCCACTTGAAGATTTCGTACACTCAAACAATGGACACAAGGATAATAAAAAATCTGATTTTTAAGCATAAATTTTTATGATAGTAAATATAAATATTGACTTTTGAAAAAAAGTAAATGAAATATTAACCTGGACCGGAAGATGATAACAGGTATTGCTCTACCGTTAATGCATGAAATAAAGTCCATAAACCGCATGGATATCCTCGAAAATGTGGTTTGCTTCCATTACACGCAATAAATGGTCCTTTATATGTAGGGAACTGATAGAGATTAAAAAAGGGACAGGAAATAGATTTCATAATTAAAAAGCATGAAACGAATAAAGTTCATGTTACATCATAAGCAAACGATATGAACAATTCATAATAACATAGAAATATAATACATTTTCTCTGATATTCACTACAAGATAATAATTCCTTTTACTGTTAAATATCTGTGTAAATATTTTGTTAATTCATTTAATATGAAAGTTAAGAAAACTAAATAAGAATTCAAGAATGGAAATTTTGTTAGATTTACGTCATTTTAATTATATTTAAATACCTAAGCCAATATATTATCTGGCTTAAATTAAATAAAAATAATCTGAATTGTATTCATATCTATATAATCACGTCAGTTAGCATAAAATCAATTTTGGACTGGATAGTTATGTCAGAGTATCGATTTTTTATTTGGCCTACATAGTTTATACTAAAACTGTAATAATAAAAATAGTAATATCAATAATAATTATTATTAGTATTGTTTTTTATTTATTTATTTCAACACATAGATATTGGTACAAAGAGGCATCAAATACATATACGCCACACAAATCTCATTCGATATGTGTGAGGGCTGTAATACTGTCCGGGTGCCCAAACCGAAGCAGGTGGTTTTCTTAGGGGGTCACACCCCGAGTCTTCGACCTGAAGGTCTGATCCACAAGGTAGTGGAGCATCGTAAGGAGATGCAGTCCCATGGAAGCCAGTGACCAACAATTGGTTCATACTCCATTTGTTCCCGCAGGATACTGGAGTCTATGTGCACCATTTGTTTGGAATCCGGTTAAAGTGCCAGACATTCGCTTTTTGTTCTCTCATTTTTGTAAACAACACCCCCGCCACGAGAAGGCAGTGAGTAGGACTTCCCTGGCAGAGGTTATATATGCGTGGCCATGTGGGAGCGTTTCGAGAGGGAGAGCGGACTCTCACCACTCTCGGCCGTACCAGGGCATTTGGAGGCCCCTAATAATAATAAAGTATACTGATATAAGAGTTCCCAAATTCTGTGAAAAATGAACTTTTCTTGAAATTCTATCTAATTTTCTCTGCATATTTATTATTCTCTTATTTAAGTGAAATAGATTCTAATAAGAATATGAAAAAAATTGTTTTATCTATTGATTTACATATTGTTGTTTCTTTTTAAATATGAACCTGAAACTGTTGTAATGCAGGACTTTTATAAATATCAGTAAACTGTACTATAAAAAACCTTAGGTGTGAGTATGCTTCTAATTATATACTGAAATAGGTTATTAACACTTCGGAATCATAACCAATGGAACTAAAACATTTATACAGAGATTTATTATCAAATTGTATTATTATGTCATTGAATATGTGTACGCGATCAAATGAAAACAAACGTTTTCCCTTTTCAAATATGTTTTTGTTTGCCTATGAAACTAGGTTTTCCTGGACATAAATTGCTAAGGCATAGTATCTAACGACGGATGTAATGCATAATGTGGAAATAAACAGATGCTGACAGAACATACTTGTATTCCTTCAAGATACGCAACCCATTCTTGACCCGTAATACTTGTTTTAGAATTTAACCAAGCGGAAATTTGAGACAGGTGAGCTTTATATTCTTGAGAAGCCGGAAGAATCTTGAATCCAGAAAAAATGAAATAATCAAAAAATAATTAAAAGAATATAATGCTGCCCCTGTGTTATACATAATATTTATATTGTGGAAATCCTTTGAAACTTAAGTAAACGAATGTAGCCACTGAATTTTGATTCACTGGTGTTTAAAGCATGAAATTTTCTAGACTAATGTTCTAAAACATTGTTTGCCTACCACTTTCCGGAAATGAAAAAGAAACGCAGAACTGCATGAACAGTTTATTCCGTATAAAAAATTTTCTGTAAAGATAACTCGTTATTTATTTCTAGTGCCTCTATCCAAAAAAACATGGGATAATCATTCAGATAAAAACCCGTTAATCCTAATTACTGTGGTAAGGAAATTTTTCATTGATAATTGGATTCCCAAAGCGGAATAACTTAAATTGAGATATGGTGAAATATTCACTACTAAACAGTCTGTACATCAAAACCTCAACTAGGATATATAACTTTTGTTGATTTTAGATTTGAGGAATAGGCGTATTTGATCGATTGATATGATTTAGTTCAAAAACATTGTCAATCATAATCCAGAAAGACTATCAGAATAAAATAAGGACAACCACGATGGTTTGTCGTCTCAAGGCACTCAATCTAACTTAATCTCTTACATATGAATAATTAACATTCGTTTATATTAGTTTAAATAACTTCTACATCATGAAAATTCGTAACAGTGGTCACTAGTGCTACCGTAATAGTGATAATACCATCATTTTGTTGCCAAATAGAATAATATATTGCCTGCATTGTAAAAATTCTGCAGAAGAAATATCATCTTATGAAAATAATTATCATTAGTTAGTTGGTTGTGACGAGTTTTCATTAGATGCGATAGGTACTGTAAAAATTAGAAAATTATTCATCAAAATTATAAATTATTTTGTTAGTTTGCATAGAATGATCGGTCACCATCGTTACGCAAAAATAAACAAATAAAATAAATATAACTACTAATTAGCAGTTAGGATCTGATATACAGAAATGTATGAAATGTTAATAATGACGATTTTATGACAGTTTATATTCCAAAAGTTACTACATATATACATATTTAGGACTTAAAAGTTTTTAATATCTAAATTTGATCTAAAGAGACACTCATGATTATGCATTGCATAAATCGCTGTAAATATTCAAAGATTCTTAATGTTGATGTTCGACAAAGATCTATTTGAGGTTTTCAAAAAAACGGTCAAATTCAAGTCGCCAGAGTATGTAGTCGAATATTTTGAGAATGTGAATCATACGACTGAACAAAAACAAATGGTAGCTATTTTCTCACTGTGATTAAATCAAATGTACCGATAATACAAGCTTTTACCAGATGGAAGATTATTTTGTGATAAAAACCATAATCCATCATTTCTTAAATACTTCCTCCACCTGATGTTAATCTATGAGCATAATAGAATATGATTGAACTGTGCTAAGTTGATAATTTCAAAATTATTGATTGATACTATTTTATTTGACTTTGAGTATTAGTAATCCTTCACTAATGATCAAAATTATGATAGGAAACCCAATCAATAGTACCATTAAGTCTCTAGTACTACACTGGCTAATGCTGATTGACGTGAGGTAGATAATATTTCAAAAGAATAGTTCAAAAAGCGATAAGTTTGAGATTAGTATATGTTATTTAATCAATCAAAACTTATTTTCGGCATGTTCACGCTTTTTAGAGCTGCAGAAATGTTTTTCAACAACGTAAGACGATCTGCGGAAAACACAAGTGGTAACACTAATTGTCGAAATAGATAATACAGCACGCATTGATACAGTGAACTTAAACATATCTATTTAAAATCAATCGAAATAAAAAGTGAAGAAAATAGTGAGTAACCGTTCTGTCAATCTACAGTCATCTGATAGCTTTAATAATGTACGTCTTACACATAGATGGATGATCAGTAGATATATGTCAATTATTTACGTATATACAATATTTTGACACTTATTGGACTTAAATTTTAGACGAAGTATAAATGAACTTTAAATTGTATCACTATACTCTCATCAAGTCAATCCATACAGTTCAGTGATTTCAACTTTTATTACCGAAAGACTTTCAAATGAGTTTATCATAAGAGTAATTTTTAAAATGTTAATGTCTGGACGGAATTATCTTGCATTACTGTGGTAAAAAAGTGTAAGAATTAAGAAGGTTGTTAGTTACTATTATTTAGTGAGAATGTTATTATTACAGGTTCATAGCGTGACAGATTGTCATCAAACGGACAAACAACCATAAAGATTCGGTGAAAATAAATTTATTAAAGAAAAAAGTCATATTAATCAATGTTACTCTAAAAAAACAACTTAGGCCCTGTACAGAACTGTCAAACACTTAAGATTTGTCATCCTTTTACAGTGTTCAATTAAAATGTGAAATTTAATATTTTTGGGCATACATGGTTATTTGTAACACAAAATGAAGGTGTCCCATTAACTTTTTTAAAACCCTTTTCACTTAAAAGTGAAAAATAGCCAAAGCGTGAGAAGTAAACGAATGAAATTTTAGACTTTTATCCTTTGTGGAAAAATGATACTTAGGGTAAAGGAGATAATTACACATCATTTCATTTTTACAATAATCATTTTATAAACTACCTCCAACAAATTCGATTGAAGCAAGAACAATATATATGGCAAAATAAGACAAATCAATTCATTCCCGATTTTTCTCTTCGGCTGCTTACAACCCGGGAACAATAGTAATAGTTATCTAGAAAAAAGCTTATACTTCATATTGCTATCAATGAAGAATCATAGAATAACAGCGACAAGTATGGAAGAATTATAAAATCTTAAAACAAATGTATATTTGTGCGTCTCTAAATGTGTGAACTCTATGGGGAAAAACTCATATATGCTGAAAATTAATCCGGTGAAATACGTTTCTAATTATTATAACCAACACTGTTTTTGGTTTAAAACTTACCTCATGTAACATGTTCAAAAATTCTTTAAGAGCTTCTAAGGCCGGTCCCTCAATTTTATCACGTGCACCAACATCAGACTGTAGTAGCATACTTAGTGACCGATAGACATCAACCGCGTAAACCGGTGGATATTTAACTTGGATTGGTGTCGTTTTAACATCTCTATAACAAATTTTTTTAAGAAATACTGTAATAATATATTGATCAATGACCGCTTAAAAATACCTCCACAATGTATTCAGCTGATTTATTGACAAAAGTATTATCAAGGAGAATCGACATCAGTTTATGACATAAACTTATTTCCAAGTTACTAGTGAAAACACTAGTTTCAGGTTAGCTTCATCAAACCTTTTGCACATAATAGTAAAATACAGAAAAAAGTATTTGTATTCCAGATGTATTTCACTTTAAGTGCCTGTCGACAGTGAATTTATCACATGCAACGTTTACATGACTTGTGACTACCTACATATAGGAAATTGTTAGATTCGTATATCTTTTTATCTTAGACTCTTTGTTCTGTGTTCGATTTTACTTACCACTAGAAAACATTTCAATATATATATATTAAATATATATATACTGGACGTTCATCCCCTCCGTTTGGAAACCAACTTGTTTGTAGTTCCCGTAAGCCAATTACTTTAAAGTAGTTGAATCAGAAAGTGGATCTTGCTCTGATCCTATGCATTTTCATTTAGTACAAATAATTGGATAAAAACCATGTAATTTAAAGTTTTAGCTTTGGGAGCCCAATTATTCCAATCAAACTCATAGTTAGCGGTTAGATAATCCATTAAACCAACTAATCAGCACATCTTATCCGCATAAATAGATTTAAATTGTTTTTTTGCCCCCCCCCCTCAAAGACTATTCTGTTCAAACTATCGACTTTAACATTGTCAAGTACATCAACTTGCCACTTTAATCCTACGTTTCCAAATTATATCATAAAATTATCTCGTACCACTAATCTTTTTCTTCTCGAATCATATTTTTATGCACAATCTTTTTTATTGTCATTAATGCTGTAACTGTGTCTACCACTCTAGGATTTGCCCTAAATTCATCTCGTTTCGCTAACAGAGTGTCCCAACTTGAACTGTTCCACATATGCACCAGGTTTTATGTTAAGTATGATTAACTGACTGAGTGACTTAACAAATTACTATCCTATAATAATAGGGTTTCCGACTAGTTGTACAGCAGTCACATCAAGCCATAAATTCAGAAAAATGTTCCACTTTATTCTTTTAAGACTTTACGAAACCAAGTTGGTTTTTGATATACATATGAACAGACACGTAAAGTTAGCATGATTAGATATAGTTAGGAACTCACATTTCTGGCTGACTGTTTTCTTCCAACCTTGGTTCACTGCCTGCGATCCGTTCAAGTACCATCCTAACCTGTTCCTCAGGACCCCTAATAAGTTTTGTAAAAGTCAATATAAAGCAAAAAAATACGTAGACTCTTTCATATTAATAAACATATCTAACAAGATTGTCAATAGTAAACTATATAAACTTATTCTATATATATATATATATATATATTCCATTTACCATATGCTTTCAGTTAAACCATTAGCTACTGTTACACAAATTACCATTCCTAATTCAATGCTACTCTATCACTTATAGTCTCTTCTATTCACAGTCACCATTGGTTTGTTTATGTAAAAATGTTATTTCCCATTTTATGGTGAGTTGTGGTCCAGTATTTCTGTAATCAAACTACGTCTGTTTAAAATATAGATATAAAAAGTGGTTGGTTGCTACTTTTGAACTCAAGGCAGTACATTGAAAAGAGCTTGTGAATAGCAGACCATCAGAAGTTTAACTGCTGCCTCAAACTCGGTAGTACTGATCGTTTATGTAATCGGTCAACTCGAGGACACTAGGCTGTCTAGAAAATAGTAGACGCAAAATAAACCAAATTAAAATTAGGAATTTGTTTGGCAAACTGACAAGTCATATTAGTCAGTAGTCTCAAACCTAATAATTTGTATGTTTGATCTTAAAATAATTAAACGATTCACGAAAAACTAAAAAGAGGAATGGCTACTATTTAAAACCAACCAAAGTGCACTTATATGCATAAAAAATTAGGTTGGACATACACCAATATTGAAAAGGTTGTCTTCGTAAATATTTATCTGCTGGATGGCTTAGTTAATAAGACTTGGACTATTTGAATTTATAAATAATCGAATTAAGAAGAAATATAAAATCGCTATCACACTTGTTACCATGATTAACTTAAAGTCAGAGCTATGAGCAAGTAAAATTAAATCACAGTATTCGACCATCAGTTTCCCCAAACTTTTAAATTTTCAGTGTTTCATTCGAGGAAAGATAAACAGTTTTAAGGAACCATAAGTGAGTAACATTCTCGGTTGTTTTTTTACTCGTCTTTTAGTCATACCAAATTATTGTTAAAAAATTTACCAAGATATGTACTTTTATGAAACTGTTCAAATTTATATTTGGCCTGTTAATGAAAAAAAATTTACTAAAGAAAATATTATATGACTAACGGGTCAGTAAATGAAGTGGTTCATCCACCAGTAATTTACTATTCTCCAATCAATGCTAACGTTTACACTGAACTAAATGGAGTTATTTAAACATTACCAACCCAATAATGTTAAAAAAAAGTATTATAATAAAGATGCTGGTGTAGTATTTGATATTTATAACTAGCGTATTGATGCAAATATTGAAAATTCACAAAACTGTGTACATATTGCAAGAGAATTCTACTTACTTGACAATTACTTCACCAGAAAGACGATTCGTGACATCGATTTCCTTTAAGCCTGATTTTACTACGCTTTGGATCTCTCGTTTTAGAAGGAGACTATAATCCAGTAACAGCTTTAAAGAAAATACAGTAAAACGACGACATTAATCAGCCATTAAGGATTTAAGACATTAGAACTGAAACATGTCTACCAAGAATGAGGTATTTAAAGTCGGTTACATGTTTGGATTATTAACTTTTGACATGTAGCATCTTAAGCTAAAAATATGAAAAACGGACTACGACTTATACCTATATAAAGCATACTAAAGTTAATAATCCATTATGGTTTGGAGTAGAACTGTCATTTCAAAGTTTGTATTTAAGCATATACTTCAATACAATCACTTTACAAAGTATAGCACCAAAATCCTTCAGAACTTTTTCTCACTAATTACCAGTGTATAGTCGCTTAATGTACTTAATATATGCAAAACCACCTTACCGAACTCAGCTTAAAAATCAATTATTACGCCAATAACAAACTGGTTGGCGAATGTACCTATTTTTTGTCATTATTTCGGCTTAGTTTACATTATCTTGCACGTTGTATCTTTTAAACTCACACATTTTGTAGTACATTAGTGATCAGTTTAAGTGTAGGCAAATTTACAGTAATCGAACTACACACCTGTAAGCCTCACCAATGATGCAGTTAAAATATTGGAAAGAATAGTCAAACGGACCATAATGGCATTTATGGAAACCAATAACTTGCTAAACATAGAAAAACATGGTTTTAGAAAGGGTCTATCTTGTATAACAAACCTCCTTATAGCAAGAGAGTTTTGGATAAAGGCGCTAGACAACGAAAACTCAGTGGATGTTGTCTACATAGATTTTAGTAAGGCTTTTGACAAGGTGCCAACTAATAAACTGCTACTGAAGTTGGAAAACTTTTGTATTGCCGGGCCTTTTTTTAAAATGACTTAAGGATTTCCTAGTAGATCGTAGACAGAAAGTAAGAACGAATTCCAAGTGCTCCATCTGGGGACCAGTACTTATTGGAGTACCTCAAGGTTCCGTCCTAAGTCCTTTACTTTTTATAATGTATGTTAATGATCTTCCAAGTATAGTACAGTCTCTAATATTATTATACGCTGACGATGTAAAGATCTGGCGAGTAATATCTGGAGACACAAACGCATGTGTTCTTCAGGCGGACTTAAATATGATTACCTGGTCTAAAATGTGGCTGATGCCTGTCAACGCGGCAAAGTGTATCTACATGCACTTTCGGGATTCAAAGGTTAATAGGTAAAACATAGTGGAAGTGCCATTACCCATGGTCCGGTCTCATAAGGATCTAGGGGTGACAGTGAGTCATGATCTTAAGACGACGGTCCATTGCCGAGAGATCGCGGGGGTTTCGAACCCTCTGGGCTTTAAAACAGACATTCACTAAGTTAGATACTACCACGTTCACCACAGTATACATATCCTTAGTGAGAACAAAGATTGAGAACTGTGTTCAGGCTGCAAACCCCTGTTTAAAAAGTGACTCGAATATCCTAGAAAAAACACAGGGTAGCTACCCGTGCAATTCCGGAACTCCGGGGTTTACCATACAAAGAGCGGCTTGAAAAACTGGACCTCTTTACTCTGTCCTATCGCAGATTAAGGGGAGATCTAATTTTGATATACAGAATACTGAGAAGTGATTTTGGACCTAAGTTGTTCTCTCTTTTTCTCCTCACTACATTGGAACATCTCAGAGGACATAGCAGGCGAGTAGAAAAGCCAAGAACGAACAAACTACCCGTGGCATACAGGTTTTCACACCGAGTCATCAATACTTAGAACCTGCTGCCCGAAGCAGTGGTGTCCGCAACTCCAATTGACCCTTTCAAGGAAAGACCGGGCACTGACAGAAGTATACTAGAAAAGTAATTACATAGACCGTAGGCCTTCTGTCCTAACTACACAAATCTGAATCTGACTTCAGTTGTAATGTGACCTTTAAAATGGAGAGATTCGTTGAATATTTCGTTTGAAAGATATGATAATAGCAATTAAGTGTATAAATCTGTTAAGCTAGATGTAAACACTTAATTAAGTGTTCAAGTCAGACAATCTACATAAAATTTTGAAATGGTCTCGTAACTCACCAGAGCGTTTACTTCGATATCACTTCCTGTAACAATTATTGGATCATTAACTGCTAAGTCCCTATAAAAAGTGAAGCTTCGTGTTTTTTACTTACCTTGGGAGTTGAAGAGCAGAGACATTTACTAACTTAGAGGCAATGCTTTTCCGCAGTAATGTCACGTTCCACTCAGCTGGAATTTCTTCGGACGTTTTTTTACTATTTTTCGTGAATAGGAACTGGGGAATAATTATAAAACAATGATTTACCCTAAGAGTGGGAACTCCTTGTACTTTGAAACGATAACATAAATCCATATTAATTTCATCTTCACAATCCACAGATCCGAGATGAAGTGCCCAATTCCAATCTTCAAAAAAAAGTTACCTTAAGAATAATGAATATTGAGTTACTTTTTACAGAGCGGCAGAATTGGGAAAAAGGTTTAGAGTAGCTTATACAATGTCCACAAGTCTTGCGATAGAAAATCACGAGCCAGATTCCTTCCGATGTTTTGTTGTCGAAATCTTCGGGATGCAGGACGGTAACACCTTCTATTTGGCTGTAGGCAAAACTGTGAACCGTTCGTAGAAGTATGTTCAAGATGAAAACGGTGATCAACATTACAGGCTTCAGAATCATATCAAAAAGTTACGAGTCAGACAGAAACACATCCACATTTCAAATCTGGCAACAATCGACTTTTGAGGTCAACTGTTCCAATAATACTATAGTTCAAAATGATTGTGATGACGATTTACAAAAAGACTGAAAGTTCCCCTATTCATCTAGCTTGAATAAATAAGTAAAATTCAATAAGCGACAGATAATATGGATTGAAAGAATACATGGGGTTTACTTTGAACATTTTCAAAATTCCAACCCTAAAATACTAAATAATGGCGGTCTCCTAGTGATAGTAAAGATGCTATGCATATTCTGAAGTTGAGCGCAGCTTTTTCTGCAACACCCTTTCAAGTAAAGGGATACGAGTCTGGTCAAATCATAAACCAGGAATGAAGGATTTCGCAGATATATATGTCTGGTTATCGATATGTCGAGATACGTTTGATCTAAGCTAGACGGTAGTGAGTATCAATCATTAATAGATTACTCACACTTTGGTAGTCTCAGTTTTCCATCACCTTGATTCAGAATTATACATTCCTGCTGTTTGATCATAATCACTCTTCCTTGATGTTCATTAAAGGTGCTATATCCGGTATTTTCGATAATTTTTTCGTTTATTTAGTGATTCAGTACTGTTTATCAGCATAACGTTTGCTGGAAACAACGTTTCAATCTTCCTAGGTACTCTGATTGTTTCTTATATGAACAGGAATCTGCAGCGCATCCAAAGTTACTGTATCAGAAAAAACAAATAGATTGCAAGTTTGAGCTCGAAATCAAAAAATGGGAAAAAAAGTCATGTCCTTTTATGCAGCATCCACTCACTAAATGAGATGGAAAATGCTGGATGGTTCATTCATGTTCATCGTCAAAAAGAAGGTTCACTACAAGTCCAAAGACGCTTATTTTATTTTATCTATGTACGTCCACCCCTTTAATGACAGCAGTTGTTAGCATCCTAATTTAACGGCGAATATACATACGTGTATGTCATTATTTAAGATTATGTCATACGGCATATTTCCTGGCAATTACACACGAATGTTTTGTATCCATATCTGACATTCCTTGAAGTCGCTTTTTTCATGGTCATTATTGCAGATATATGTTTAGACTTGTGAGTACGCACACTTCTGACTATAACAAGCAACTCAGGTTTTCTTTATATTTGCTTTGGTGTTCTTTCAGCTCATTTTCTATCCTTCCTTTTGTATGTATCTCCCAGGTTTTATTAGTCTATCACATTAGATTTAATTGGTCCAGATATGGTTTCGGAGATTTTGAAGGAAATGGTAGCGAAAAAACTTGAATAAATGGACTCTGCGAATAACAGACCACTAGTGACATTTTGGGTTTTTGGTAACATTAACGAAATAGTTGATCAGTACACAGAAAACGGACAGTGACAGAAACGACATAATTGATTACGTGTATCAAAATTGAGCGAAGAATCCAGACTATTGGAGGGCATCAAGTATCCGGTATAGCACGAAATATAAGCATATCCTTCAGACATCTACATTACAAACTTCTGGATTTCTAACCGGACTTAAAATAGACTTCAATTCAATGCTTACAACCATTGTAATACATTGCTAAGAGTTGGGGCTTGCCCGCTCTTTTAGAACTTTTGATTGAAAATTGTAGTATAGGTTGATTTGTCAATTCAGAGTTGCTTTGTAAGCCAGTACTTATCCACAGATATCCTGAAATTGTGTCGTGTAGTTAGCAGTTAAAACGTTGAGGGCAACTTCGCAAGTTGCAGACGAAATAAAAGTATGACATCTCTGATTCATGAAGGCTTATTCCACGGCCTATAACTGTGGATACTCGGTGATCATTAGGTCCTAAGACATTTTTTCCTTCTTCACCAATATGACCAGATTGTATTTGCCAAGTCTGTTCGTACTAAACAAATGGACGACCAGGTTAAAATAAAGCACCAAGAAGCAATAAGTGACTACTGAAATGTAACATTTTCAGTCTCTGTACCTAAGAGTTTAGAAAACCAAAGGATCGGTTATTCAGATGAGCTTCGGAACTAAAACCTTTTTACCATGAGAGTACGGAGGGATTTTAAGATAGTTGTCTATTTTGGTTTGATCCAAAATACTGTAATCATCGCTTCGGAGACCTGTCCGAACTGTACTAAAACGTTGTTCTAAACCCTTAATTAACAACACAGGCTTTTAAACTTTCTGGTTCAAGAGTACCAAACCCGATATTTTTTACTCCAAAGCATATCGTTGAAGGTCTAAGCCTTCTCCCGTGACACTAAATACTCACGTGACATATGCTAATCCTTCTGTAATAAAATGAATTCTTTTAAAAATCCTTCAAAGTTTCTTACATGTTAGTACTGTTATTTCCTGAATTTTCCTTTCTTCTATACGTATTGACTTTTATCCAAATTTTGTGCAACCAGGTGTTCATATTTCTCAGTTTTCTTTGACCAAACATTTCTTATGTTCTTCTGGTGAATATGTGATTATACTACCTCATATTATTGTATAACCTCGAACCATTAACAATCATAGCTCGTTTGACTGATTTCAACTTTACAATGTATGGTAGCTTATTGTATCTGTAATTTGGCTGTCTTTTGGGAACATTTATTAATCAACTTGATTCTTGACGTGAGAAATTTAATTTAATTTTCAGGAATATTCTTCCTGATTCTCAAGAACGTAACAGATGTGACTGTTTTTATGTAGTACGTTATTATCTAGCAATGAAAAGCTGGACTGAATACTGGCAGAATAGTATTTTCGAAGACTGTGACTGTGGGAAGATCAAAATAAAGACCTATTCACAAATTTTCTGGTTTCTGCTATCAATAGCACGAGGGTAACATTAAGGCACGAAACACACACCTACGCGCTCATACAAAATCTGTCAAGATTGATAAGAGAATAATTAACAAGGTCAAAGTGTAACTCAACCAGAACGAATAGATTGGCCTGTCCGAAGGCGAGAGCAAGATAATATGGGCTTAAAATAATAACTGACATTACAAATTTTTATTGGGATGCAGTCCAGCACAGAATCCAGTTCTACATGATCGTTGACTATGAGTGGCTGGAAAACTAATTTCGCACTACAGAAGGACACAGTAATTTGTTTTGAGCTTATGAGTCTTGATTTAGTTATATCGTATTCTGCATTGGGTCTAAAGTTCTTAATTTTGGCCGTTACACGTGCTCGCATTTATCACTCACCTTCACATGATCTCACAGACCTTTGTTTTTACCACACATGCCCAGGCCCTCAGTTTCCGCTTTACCGTTTCTCAACGCATACGAACAATCGTATGTAACCTGGAAATAACATACGGCCTAATACTGGGCTAGCAAACTTAACCAATAAAAATGAACGGAAATTTAACCAGGTATTTGTAAAAACAGTGGAGCTATCCGTTTGAGCTAATTAGCCAACTGTAAGATCCAAACTACGTTTGGACTGCTGGACAGCTGTCTGGATGAGTTAGATACGCGCCCTCGCCCGATTGAAACCAAAACAAAGTAATTGGGTAAGATAGCGGTTCTAAACAAATATAACCACTCAGCTATCCAACCAATAATTGTTTAATTGATCAACTCTAAACAATCACCACAAATAAATGTTATTCTATCCTGTCTGGATAGATCACGTACAGATTCGTTCAAAAGGTAATACTTGGTCGCTCTATAACCCAGAGTGTTTTCAATTCTGGAAGAGTGCTTCAATTCACAACAAAAATGCACAGTCCCAGTCAACGCAGGTCAAGCAATCACAAACAGGAACAAACCAAAATGGCTGCCGCCAAGACTTAGTATAAAGTAAAACAACATAAGTGCAGTTCGGGAAGAAGCATAGGGAATTAGTGAAGGTGTGGTAAAAACGAAAACTATAATAAAATACAAATATTAACAATTCAACTGTAGTCAAAAAGTTAACATTGTACGACTAAAAGAATCAATAGGAACAAAGTGCAAGTATATACATGGAGGGATTTTCACGAACACACAAAGCATTCAAAATGGATCTTACACCGGCCCCCAAAATCCCTCCATATCACACAAGCTACCTTGATGCCTATGGTCATGGTTCATTATGTAGCATATGACACTATAGGAATGAATAGGACTTACAACAGTACGCCTACTCGACCTACCTACATTGATAATACGAGGAACTAATTCGAGCCTTCAAGGAGGCATAATCTACGTATATCTCTCCTGACTAATCCACCGTTCGTACGAACAACCACTGTTCTAACTCTTCCGTCGTCATCTATTTCACAATCTTCAACTACTCCTAAGGGCCATTTTCCACGCGTCGATATGTCCGAAGCCACGATCACTACATCCCCTTTCTGAAAATTGCGGTGTTCAACTAACCACTTTTGACGTTTTTGTAGGGATGGTAAATACTCTCTTAACCACCTTTTCCAAAACACATTAGCAAGATGATTAACCTGTTTCCAACGTTTGTCATATTTATCTCTGATGCTACCTTCTTCGACTATTCCGTCACATTCTCTCAATAACAACAAACTGTTTGGCGACAAAGCTAGTTTATCGTTAGCATCTTGAACGACCGGAGTTAAGGGTCGATCGTTCAATATCCTTTCAATCTCAATCAAATAAGTGTTTAAAGTCTCATCGGTTAGAGTCTGCTCTCTAGTTATCAGCAATAACAGTCGGCGTATGGACCTAATCATCCTTTCCCAAACCTCACCCCTGTGGCTGGCTGAGGGCGGGTTAAAATGCCACTGAATCTGCCTAGCTGACAGTTCTTTGTCTATTTTCTGTTGATTCAACTGTTGCACAAATCTCCTTAACTCAGAGACCGCACCCACAAAATTTGACCCATTGTCACTGTAAATTTCTGCAGGTTTCCCTCTTCTTCCAATAAAACGTAGCAAGGCCATTATAAACGAATCAGTATTCAAACTGTGTGTCAGTTCAATATGTACTGCTCGGGTTTGCAAGCAAGTAAATATACATCCATACCTTTTTTCTAATGATCTTCCTCTCTTGACAACAAGTGGTCCAAAGTAGTCTACTCCCACGGCTGAGAAGCTATACCATCCTGGTTGAACTCTACAAGCTGGAAGCGGCGCCATCAACTGTTGCCCTGTATTCATCGTAAACCGCCGGCATGTCACACACATACCTATCACTCTCTTAACCGTGCTGGTTGCCTTCATTATCCAA